GTGCAGCACTCACCATACAGTGCAGCACTCACCATACAGTGCAGCACTCACCATACAGTGCAGCACTCACCATACAGTGCAGCACGGCCACTCTGCATGAGTCGCCAGCGAGGTAGGTGGCGACGTTAGTGCAGGCGCTGTACAGGTCGTGTAGGGGCGGCGGGCGGCGCGCGTGCCACGCAAGATGTGTCAGCGTCCCGCCAGTGTAGCGGCCACTGTAGTGGCGGCCTGACACGTTGTACACGGTGTAGTGGCCGCCATGACGACCGTCCAGCACAGCTGCACGTAATGCTTTCTCTTACTGCCTTCATTTGAGATGATACAAATTAAAATCTTGAGGAAAATAATATTTTTATAAAAGAAAAAGGAACGAATTGGCCGCCAATTACAGTGGCCGCAAACTACGGTGCCACTAACTACAGTGGCCGCCAGCAACAGTGGCCGCCAGTATCAACAGTATCAATGGCCGCCAGTAACAGAGGCCGCCAGCAACAGTGGCCGCCAGCATCAGTGGCGGCCAGTATCAGTGGCCGCCAGTATCAATGGCCGTCAGTAACAGAGGCCGCCAGCACCCGTGGCCACCAGTATCAATGGCCGCCAGCAACAGAGGCCGCCAGCAACAGTGACCGCCAGTACCAGTGGCCGCCAGTAACAGTGGCCGCCAGTACCAGTGGCCGCCGGTAACAGTGGCCGCCAGTATCAGTGGCCACCGGTAACAGAGGCCGCCAGTAACAGCGGCCGCCAGTAACAGCGGCCGCCAGTACCAGTGGCCGCCAGTAACAGTAGCCGCCAGTTACAGTGGCCGCCAATAACAGTTACGGCCAGTACCAGTGGCGGCCAGTAACAGTGGCCACTTACCTCTGACGTCGTCAATATGGCTGCGGTAGGCGGCCTCTAAGCCCTCAGCAGGGAAGGACATGACGATGAGGCGCGACGTGAGGTACGTCATGTCCAGGTCTGAGCGAACCATCGATCTGCGCGGTCATGCATTATTTACTCGTTGTACCTTAACTGTAAGGCAGCGTTAATATCATAACATTACACCATTGTACATTAACAGTAAGGCAGCATAAATATCATTACTTATTGTACATTACACCATTGTACATTAAGAGTAATGCAGAATTACTCATTGTACACTAACAATACTGCATCATTAAAATCTTTACTCGCTGTACATTAACAGTAATGCAGCATTAATAACATAACTCATTGTACATTAACAGTAATGCAGCATTAATAACATAACTCATTGTACATTAACAGTAATGCAGCTGTCTCTNAGCTGTCTCTTATACACATCTAGATGTGTATAAGAGACAGGAGATACACGGTACACTCACTGAGACACGGTGGAGATACACGGTACACTCACTGAGACACGGTGGAGATAACTTTAGACGAGGTATCCTTGATGTTCCTGAAGAGGCTCCCCGAGTAACCCTTGATTGACGAGAACAGCCCTCCACCGCCTGCTGTGTATAAATTGACAAATAATTACTTTCATCTCTTCTTCTATATACAAACTGCAAGAAATTAATGAGGCACAACGTTAAAAATACTTTAGACGGATTTTTTTTATTAACAAGCATCATTTCTTCACAAATAAAATGAAAATATGGAAGAACATTTCTTAATTCGAGTTTCATAAGACCAAGGTTTTTCGTGATTTCTTTGGAGTAAATCTTATTCAATAACAGCGCAATGTCATTTTTTTAGCTCACTCCTATAAATTTATCTCAATTATCGAGATTATGTTCACTACTTTTACAATCAATCTTCTATAAGATATTGGCAATAAACTTTTTGGTAATATGAAATCCAATAGATTAGAAGCATATAAAAAAATATTAGAAGCATCCATCACTTAAAATGTTCCCCTGAGAAATAAGGCACTCCTATCTAAAAATAAATATACAGGATTTCTAGAATATACAGGGTGACCCAAATAAAAGTTGCTAAAAGTAAAGGCTCATAACTCGAAAAGTATTAAACGCAGAAAGATGAAATAAAACCACATGAAAAAGTATAACTTCAAGTTTTATTTGGTAGGTACATGTTACCAAAGTTCTCTATATATTTCATAGTTAAAACTCGTTATTTTTTTAAGATCTAGATTCCCCTACAATGCAGCAAAATTCTGAGCAAAGAGTTTTCATTGTCGAACAATTTTACCTGAAAACTTCACCAACCAAAATAAAGAGAGGTTATTTCACCAAATACAGACAAGAAGTTAGTCTCAACACAATCAAGAAGTGGATACGTCAGTGGAAAGATAAAGGAACGATCCTGAATCAAAATAAAGGTCATTCTGGACGGCGAAGAACTGGAAGATCAGAAGAAATCATTGCCATGATTGAAGAAAGAATCAATGAATCACTTTTGGATTTCTTCCTATGGAGTTATGTGAAAGAAAAAGTATTCAGTACAAGACCAAGCAGCATTGACAATCTGAAGATAGCAATTCGTGAAGCTCACGCACTTATTGGAGCAGGATACCTTGTCTGCAGTAACGGAAAATTTTGAAAAACGTATTGAGCTGTGTATTCAACAGCGAGGCGGTCATTTTGAACATTTATTGTAATCTGAATAAAACTTGTAGTTATGCTCTTTCATGTGTTTTTTATTACATCTTTCTACGTTTAATAATTTTCGAGTTATAAGTCTTTACTTTTAGCAACTTTTTTAGTGGTCACCCTGTACAAGTAAAAAATTATTAAACTTCCAAATGTTCTACAGAAATACTAACAAAAAGGTGCAAAACTGGGAAAAGATCAAAGAATTTATCGAGAAAACCATTTCAAGAATAATAATTTAAACTAACAGCATAAAATAAAAATTCAAAACACATCAGACCGCACAACTTCAGGCATGACATTTGAAAATGAAATAAAAGTCAACTAAAATACAGAGGAAGACACCTTGATTCTGTGGCGGCGGCGGCGCAGGTCTGCCTTCAGGCGCCGCCTGAGGAGGTCTGCGAGGGTCTGTCTGCGGCGGGGACTGCTGACTTGCAGAGCTCGAGAACAGACTTAGTCTGCTGGTCTCTGACTGGTGAACTGTAAACACACGATCTCTGAGAACAGACTTAGTCTGCTGGTCTCTGACTGGTGAACTGCAAACACACGATCTCTGAGAACAGACTTAGTCTGCTGGTCTCTGGCTGGTGAACTGTAAACACACGATCTCTGAGAACAGACTTAGTCTGCTGGTCTCTGACAGGTGAACTGCAAACACACGATCTCTGAGAACAGACTTAGTCTGCTGGTCTCTGGCTGGTGAACTGTAAACACACGACCTGTGAGAACAGACTTAGTCTGCTGGTCTCTGACAGGTGAACTGCAAACACACGATCTTTAGGGGCAGTGATAGCTAATCTTCACCAGTCTAGGAGGTAATCTTTACTAATCTGAGAGGTAATTCCATGCCTACGGGCAGATCTCAAATTTCACATTAAGTGACCAAAAAATGCCAACACTGTAGTTAACACATAAATCTTGTAGTATTGCTTGATATTGCTCGAACATCAAGCAACAACAAATGTGTCTCTCCAGTTACCAGCGATCTAACTATTGTATTTTTTGTCTATTGTGTGATGATAAAAAAAGTGTCTATCTGAGAACAAGTGTCTAATGTCCGAGTGTCACATATAGAGTATCCTGGGGTATGTAAATAAAATAATATACATAATATTATATTACAATGACGCATAAAAATAATAAAATAAATTATTGCTAAAATGAAGACATATACAGGGCAGCAATAAATGGTGCGCGCTTCAGCTTCAGAGGACTCCTGAAGCTGAAGCCCTCATAACCCACCTGGCGTGAAGCAGTCTATAGGGACATGCTTCAGCTTCAGAGGACTCCTGAAGCTGAAGCCCTTGGACTCGGCGACGGCAGCAAGGCGCTCTAGGACGTCGCTGACGGAGAAGCGCAGGCGGGGGTCGACGGTGAGCATCCCGCGCAGGAGGGCGTGCAGGCACTCGTAGCGCCCGTCCTTGCTGGGCAGGCTGTAGTTCCCGTTGATTATCCTGTCAAATATGATCATTTAGTGTATAATAAATCAAATTAAGAACCAATTAATTGATTCTTCAAATGAATGAAACGATTGAAAACATACCTAGGTTATGAGCCGTAATTGAGGGTGGAGCTAACAGCTCACGGTCGGTAAGCGACTCGAAAACTGACTATAACTAGCGACCCAACTGACATCACCACGCCCCACAACTGACATCACCACGCCCCACAACTGACCTCACCACGCCCCACAACTGACATCACCACGCCCCACAACTGACATCACCACGCCCCACAACTGACATCACCACGCCCCACAACTGACATCACCACAACTGACCTCAACTTGGCCGAGTCTTCAAAAGGATGTTTGAGGTAGCACAGGTAGTACGTGATGCAACCTAAGGCCCAAATGTCCGCCTGTAACACAACTCAAGTTATAACAGTGACCAGGTTCAAGTATCTTTTGTAGTGCTGAATTACCATTAAATAATTCATGGGTGTTATTTAGCGTGTGTGTTCTTCACTATCACACTGACAACATAACTGTTGTACCGGGTACACTGAATTTATGAAAAATGAATCACTGACACTAGAGGGATTTTCACAGGAATATGGTAGTTCCAAATAAAAAAGAGTCATTCATATATAAATGAAAGATATTGAAGATTTACCAACGTATGAGATAGAGAGAAATGTTAGAAACTAAGTAATCAGTATATATGGGCCTTATTTAAATTAGGGATTTAATTTTGAAGTAAATCAGGCTACAGAAAAATTATAATATGATTTCACTCATAATTGACCTGAGTGGGTCACTTAATAAGACCAGCAGCTTGATCAAATAAAAAATAGTTAACAATTGTTTACATTCATAATCTGCATTTTCATCCCACGAGATAATCACTAATCAGCCAAATTCAGATTTGAGTCTTAGTATCATACATTATAATTTGGTGGCCGAATATAACGAGTCTGACCTTGCCTGTTATAGGATAATTGTTCCACGTGTCCAGCATCTCAGGCGCTCTGTACATGGGCGTTGTGTGAGACGCCATCTGTAGGGCAAGACAAAATATTTCAACTGATTTTAGAGCATTTAAATTCGGGACACTTCAAATAAAATTATAACCATGTACCAGTATTAAAACTTGGCACCGTGCAGCATGACACTGAACCACGCAGCACGACACTGCACCACGCAGCATGACACTGCACCACGCAGCATGACACTGCACCACGCAGCATGACACTGCACCACGCAGCATGACACTGCATCACGCAGCATGACACTGCACCACGCAGCATGACACTGCATCACGCAGCATGACACTGCACCAGGCAGCATGACACTGCACCACGCTATTGGGGGCGCTATCTCGCTATTATTGGGGGCGCGTCTGCGTCGTGGCGAGACCCCTCTGGGAGGGCCAAATTGCCCCCACTTCAACCTCACTGGGGAGCCGTGGGGAGATGGCTCCCCAGAGTGCTGCGTCCTGGGAGGCGCTACCCGGTTGGATTGGACCAACAGTTTTTTCCGATGGGGGACTTGGAGACCCCGCTACCAGGTCCCTGTACCTTCTCATCCTGCTTGGTGGTGACATCGAGCTAAACCCGGGCCCCATCACCTATTGCCCTGCCTGCACCAAGCGTGTGACATCTGCTCGCTGGAGTAGGGGATCTGTCTCGTGCAACAGTTGCAAAAAGCTGGTTTCACCTCACGTGCACCTCGCTTCCAACCCATGGACACCATACCAGCAACTGGCGCTGCTCATTGTGCCGCCCTGTGACCATCGCATCTGCACCGCAAGTCCTACAGCATACACCGGCACCCCACGTGCCGGTGCGCCCTCCGGCTCCTCCGCTGCCACCTCGCCCCCTTCCTGGGCCTCCCTCCCCATCTCGCCCAGTCCCTCCCGATCGACCACAAGCCAACACACCACCGACCCGCCTTCAAAACCTTAAAATCCTACAACTCAACATTGACGGCCTACGCACCAAGCATGTTGAACTCAAACAATACATGCACTCCAACAAAATTCACGTCGCCATTATACAAGAGACAAAGCTTAGGCACTCGCATAAGACACCATCCATCCCAAACTACACTGCCATCAGACAGCATAGGCAACACGGAGAGGGTGGGGGATTGATTACGTACATTCACCACAGTGTTGCCTACCTGGAGAAAACTCAGCATATCAGAACTCTAACACAAGTAGATAGGCACACGGAACTACAGGCATTTCACATCCAGACAGGTCACAAAAAACACATTATCCTCATCAACATATACATTCCTCCAGAACACTCACCGGGTCTACCGGCCCGCTAAACTCCCACACTCCATGCATTAAACACACTACCAGACCTAATCCTTGGAGGCAGGGTTGGCAATGATTAAATCAAAATGATTAAATCATGTGATTAAATCACTTGATTTTTTTATAAAAAATCATGATTTTTTTTATTTTTTCGATTTTTTGGATTTTTTTAATTTTTTCATATATTTAAATATATTGAGTGGCAGTCTTTAATTTATATTGAGGTATTGTTATTAATGGTTTATTATAAATGTACTATAAATGACAAATTGGTATATAAACTTGTTGCCTTTAGTGTGTATTAGGTTCCAATAAATTGAATGTTTTTGGTACAGAGGCATCAAGTGTGCAATACATTGTACGTAGCTAGCAGCTTAGCTAATTATTATAAGGCTATAAGTAGTCTTTAACTATTTGACTATTTGTTATATATTGATTACAATATACAATTTAAATCTGTCAGCTAGTGAGCTAGCTAATACAGGGTGGGGCAGAACTGATTGAACAGTTTTGGGGCAAAATAAAAGAGTAATGGAGGTACATAAAGAAGAAAGTTTATTCTCCTCAAGCTTAACATAACATACCATTTAAAATACTTATGTTTTGCAAACAATATCAGGAAAATGGTGTTTGTTAGCTGCATCACACTGTTGGAGTTGTTCTCGGAAGTTTTCTACAGCACGTTCACACATATGGCGAGTTATGGCCATAACCTCTGCTGCAATAATCCATCCCCTTAGCTGTGGTAGGGTGTGAGGGCAACTTCTGAACTTCTCTTTTAGATGTCCCCAAAGAAAGAAATTGCAAATGCTCAAATCAAGTGACCTCAAGGCCAGTGTAAATCACCCCTCAGAGACACCAGACCTCTGGGAAACATGTGTTTCAAAACATTGGGTGACATTCGAGCTGTGTGAGCTGTAGCCCCATCCTGCTGGAACCACACGTCTTGCAATGCTTCATTTTCAACAATGTTTTCTATCCTGGGCTGAAAGAAATTTGCAACATTGCAGCATAGCGATCGGAATTCACTGTTACGGTTACTCCCTCCTCTGAGAACGACTCAAACAGTGTGTTGCAGCTAATGGCCCCCATCTTCCAGATATTGTTTTCAAAACATAAGTATTCTAAATGGTATGTTATGCTAACTTCTAGGAAAATAAACTTTCTTCTTTATGTACTTCCATTACTCTTATTTTACCTCAAAACGGCTCAATCGGTTCTGCTCCGCCCTGTATATTGAGAGGTTGAGATTGTATTGACCTTTTAGGCAATTAGAAAGATTTTCCACCCTAATACAAGTATTCTAATTAAAATATTTAATTTCAATCTTTAAATATGTGAATTTAAAACTAGAAACAAAACGATTACAATTATAAGACTATANGACACTGCACAGCATGACACCACGCAGCATGACACCACACAGCATGACACTGCACAGCATGACACCACGCAGCATGACACCACGCAGCATGACACCACACAGCATGACACTGCACAGCATAACACCACGCAGCATGACACCACACAGCATGACACTGCACAGCATGACACCACGCAGCATGACACCATGCAGCATGACACCATGCAGCATGACACCACGCAGCATGACACCACACAGCATGACACCACGCAGAATGACACAGTCTTCATGCTAACCTCATCCTCCAGCATGGCACGCTGTTGAGCGCTCCAGGAGTCATCGATGAAGTGCTCCGTGGTGGTGGCGGAGCCGAAGTCGCAGAGCTTTATCGTCCCCTCGTCGCTGATGAGGAGGTTCTCCACCTTCAGGTCTCGGTGCAGGATTGGGGGGCTTTGCATCTATAACAAAACATTTCTCTACATATTTTGTCAAAGAAAAATTGTGCAGATGCAGACTCTGAACAGAGCTGAATGCAGGACTTTCCCCATTGTGAAATTGGGTTGACATGATAATGTTAATGATTTGGATTACAAACAGGCTTCATTAGAAGGGAAATGACAATTGAAGAAAATGTAAAGCATAAGAAGATATCTTGATACTTTTTATACATGCATTGAACTGAAAACAACATGCGCCAGTATAACTTCTGATACAAATTTGTACTTTTTTCCAACTCAGGGTGTAAAATGAATGAATATCACCATTGAAAAAAATTATAAGCCATTACTATAACAATTAAAATATTCTGAAATAAGATAAGTAATTCCACCTTAACACAGTGACATTTAACGCATCTACTACAAAATACCTCGTTACTTCATCAAAAGAAATTAAGATACCAGGCACAAGTGGAACATTAAAGCATCAGACATGATACCGACAGACCTGCATGTGCTGCACAGCTCTCGCGGTCTGGTAGACCACAGCACACACTTGGTCTAGTGACAGGCGAGTGTCTTCCAGGGCACGTAAAGCATCTATCATGGACCCTCCTGCAAACAAAATTAATTATCCATTATATATTTATAACAAGCTACACACTGTTAAATTTATACATTCATTGAAATCCAAACTTCAGTACGCTTGAAATATTAATTGAAGGCTCAAATAGGAAATTAATTAGGTGTATACAGGCCTTAAACTACACAGTCATAATGAATCCAAATTATTTTATTCTAAAACAAGCACTAAGAACTTGAGTGCACTGCTACATAGAGCAGAGTTGACTTACATGCACCAACAACAGAACACATTCCTCAGTTAAACATAGCTCAGTTAGCAACAGAAAACTTCCATCTCTCACCAGAACATAGCTCAGTTAACAACAGAAAACTTCCATCTCTCACCACATCTCTCACCTGAACATAGCTCAGTTAACAACAGAAAACTTCCATCTCTCACCTGAACATAGCTCAGTTAGCAGCAGGAACTCAGTTCTGCCCTGGTTACTCGAGTTCTTGTCAATAATCTCACAACCGATGAACTCCACGATGCTGGGATGGCCAGAGAGTTGCTTGGCAAAAGCTATCTCTTGATTGATGGCAGCACATGAAGCATCGTCAGCTGCCAACAGGCGCTGTAGAGAATTCATTAGAAAATTAAATAATTGTTATATATTATTTTAAAAAAATTTTATGTTTGAATGACTTAGCAATCAAGGGCTAGGAAAATTACAATCTGAATAATAGCCGTACCCAGTGAAAATTTACAGACGCATCAGCTTCTGATTTGGATTACCAGAAGCTGGGGCAACTCTAAATTTCACTAGGGTAGGCCCAGGCAGGCATTGCTGCATTCACTTCAGTGAGTTTTATGATATGAATGCACTGTAACCATAAATGTGAACTATCTTTACAGGAAATATCAATAAAGCACAGAGAAATACTGCTAAGTAATATTACCAATACGTATGAGTGGATATTGTTAATTAAATCAGAAAATTATGAGTTCAAGATTAATCTTTTCACAGACAAAGGTTAAGATATGGATACAGGTATTTTTAAAGAATATATATAGTATCTTAATAACTAAAAAAATGATTGGATAGATGGCTTGATAAATATTTATTGCACATCTTGTTTTTAGTACACGGCTACTTTTGAGAACATGGTGTTATTTAGCACAAATCAACAGCATGAAAGAAAACGTTTTTTATCACAAAATTCATGTTAAGACATTAGTAAGTCTGCCTTTGTACATGTGAGCACTCAGCTAGAAGTCAACAATTTTGCAGGAAATGTGAAATAGAATTAGAAGGAAAATTCTAAACTCAAACTATCACAATAATAAGTTTGTAATAATAATTAACAGTGTCTGGACAATTTCTCTTTAGAAAATACACACCAGAGACCAAATTACAAAATGATTTTCTTATTCAAATACTAAAGTGTCTTCACCAATATGACTGATAAGATTACAAATCTAATTTTCAGGGTCCATATTATTATGTCTAATAAGTTATAGACATTTAAATAATAGGTATAAGTTTAAAAATTAATTTTCAAAGACAACACTTCTAAAAAAATCCAGTGTCTCCAATGTAAAACATGTACAATGAATTTCTAATTTTGATTTTGAATATTAGAAAATTAATTTTTTAATTATTTTAATACATAGAAGAAATTAAATTTTCGAAATTATTTATTCTGTCAATTGATTTGTGCATTGTATCTGACTTTACACAAGTCTGCAAAATTTCAGGTAGATTGGACAGCTAGAAGTGTGTTAAATATTGATTATATGATTTGTAGCAGACAAAACTATTTTTTCAATTTTTTTAACATTGAAAAAAATGTAAATTATTTATTCTGTCAATTGATTCATTCATTGTCTCCAACTTTACGCAAGTGTGCAAAATTTCAGATCAATTGGAGAGGTAGAAGTGTGTTAAAAATCGATTATAAAATTTGTAGCAGACAGACAGACAAACAAGAAGTGAAGTTAAAGAGAAGTGTTGTAATGAACGAAAAGCTAGAACAAACCTTGAGAGCATAATGTCGCCCACTGGCAGTGTCTTGTGCAACATACACAAATGCAAAACCTCCTGAAATGCAATAAATTCATTAACAATATGAAAATATTTCTGTTGATACATGAACAATATTTTCCAAATAGATGGCAGGACAATAAAACAGATTTGTTGTGTATATATTTACTGACTTGAATATATTTAATGAAGCTATCAATAACATGATGAGGTTCGGATCCCCTGAATAAGCCATATAAAATTCATTAATAAATTATTTAATGGCAATCATAAGTTAAACTATTGTTCAAAAAATTATAACTAGTTTTGAAAATATTCAGAGAAACTTATTAGAATCATTTTCAATAAAGTTTAGGTTTTTTACTGATGAATAAATGAATGTGAAGATATGCGAATAAATGGGAACTGAAGCCAATATTAAAGAATATAGTTAATACATTAAAATTTATATAAAGATCAAACTGCGGTATCTTCCATATAAATGTCATTATCAGGTTTCATTCCTACATCTCAATTGAAATCTCAGAAGTTTGGCTACTGTAATAAAATAATTTGGAATGTAAAACGTGAACAAACCTTCAGCAATAACTTTTTTGATGCGCAGCTTGAGCCCTGCTACCTCAACTTGCTGGCCGACATAGTCATCCGAGTTAGAGCCTTCACTGCCGAGGTATCCTAGTGCAGTCTTGAATAAATCTGACATGATCACTGCATATCTGTAGTAATGAAGAAAAACATCTAGAAAATTTAAATATTACAGTTTAATATCTATTTGTAGCAATTTTTAGATAGGTACAGTCATTGATTATTGAAGAAATTTTTAAAAAGCTGGTTTTCCTTCCACACAAACAGATAATGGTACATAAATTCAAATTGTTTAAAATCATTTGCTTGGCCATTTAATAAAGAATTTTACGATAGATAATTCAATAAGCATTGCGTTACATTGCTAATGAGCTATCATCCTTCCTATCTATCTTAGTACCCCTAGCAGTGAGCTTGCTTCAATATCCTGGCATGGCAGTACCAGTAACCTGATGTGGAACATCTTTTTCCTGCTCAAGGTAAGCTAGTGGGCCTGCTGGGTGTCACTGATCATGTTGATGTTTCTCTATTTATCTTAGCTAGTAAGAAGTAGCACAAAACGCTTACCGTCTTCACCCAGGCTGCTGCTTTGCCACAATGTCACTGTTTACAATAAATTCTATCCTTGGGCAAAAAAAAAACAGATATTGATCAGAGGTGGATTTGCAAGAAGCTGACTATGGCAGCTTAGGGCCAACTCCTCATATGATTTTTTAACTATGCTAGTTTCAATTTTTTAATCTTTTTGCATTAGTATTTCAGCATCTAAGTTAGGCATTGCCCTCTTAATATCAATCTTTAAATCTGGCACATAATTGCTAAATGATTCTTTTCTAGTTTATTTAGTTTTTGAGCAAAGCTAAAAATATTATATTTTAGGGTTTAATCCTTCCTTCCATTAATGGTCTTAGAGGTTCCCCAAACAGCAGTTGAGCTGTAAAATTGCAAATTTTTAAAAATTATAAAACTTTTTAGCCTCAATATTTTACAGGTTACTGAGGTTAGAACGCGAAAATATCTCAAGTTATCTTCAACACAATGAACACATCAGCATCAAAATCTGCATTGTCAGACCAACATACCATCAAATGGGGTAATAATAGTTGGTTTTGAGCATTTTCCATTTAATAACTTCATACCATGAAACACTATTTTGCATCTGGCACCTTAAAAATAGCATATGGAATTTTTTGAAGATGCCATTTGATAGCCCTTGCTAAGAGCTTTAAAATGAGCCCAAACTTGTTTATGAAATGTTTAATGGTAAGAAGTTAGGGTAAACGCGGTATATTCCGACATCGTAGGTAATTCCGTCACCTCTCCAGCTTTTCCTTTATATTAAGCTTTGTTTTAGTTCCATGCGTTCATTGATGGTTGAAATGGTGACGTCATACATTTGCGTGTCGAAATACTGCAAAAACACTAGGTCTTGGCCATCTAGTGGGAAAATATTGAGATCCAAAGAGAGACAATGCATGCCACGTGGTGAGATCATCGAAAAATGTGTCAAATTTGACAGTTGACATGGCTCTACCAAATAGTGAATAACTGTTTTTATAGGAAGAATATTATGGTTTGAGACTTTTAAATGCGTCTGTGAATATATTAGGAATCCTTTAAGTATACTTGTATTCACTGATTTCAAGTCGTAAATACATAAATTAATAGATGATTAAGTTGAGATGTTGGATTTAGACACATGAAAACTAATTCCGACACAACTTGAATTGGACACACACAGATCGTTCAAAGCTTTGTACAAAAATTGAAATTTGCTTAATTAAAAGCCTAATAGCTGTTAATTAAAACGTAATTAAGTAGTGTTCAATATTCGTTAGTGTTCTAATTCAAAGCCGTGTTGTATCCCAATACAGCTCACACAGCAAACGGAATTCGAACACGTGGATGTCGGCAATATGTATCAGTTAAATTTGAAGCGATGACGCAAAACGACTCACCACGTGTCGAATATTGCCACACAAAGTGACGGAATATAGGGATTTGGTAGGTTTCCATTCTAAAGGCTTTTTAATAAATATGGCAAGTGGCAACATTTTGTGACGTTTCATCGTTGCTGACACGTAGTGAAGTGTTTTGAGAGTCATGTGACATGTGAAGGCAACAGAACTGACGTAACGCATACGGTTTTTTTTTATAGTTTTTCATTTCTCGATGCGTCCTTAATGTGTCGGAATATACCGCGTTTACCCTATTAACAAAAAAGAGGCTCAAAAGCAATAAAGCATCCCTTCTTACCCCATTTGATTTGATGGTAGATGATGTACAGGGGTACCTGTTTTGCCAGCTAGGCTAGTTATGGTGACAAACCAGAGATTTTTTTTTAGAATCAGTTCATTTTTAATCTCCTCATTTACTCAATATTTAAACCAATTTATTATGTATGATAATGCTGGTATCCATAATACTTTGCTTGTCTACTTATAACTATAAGACTCAAAAATGAATTTGAGGGAGTCTAAAAAACTCTCTGCTTTGCCACTATCAGGCTGTCACATGGAAATGGCCGCCATTTTTTTCTGGGATGAGATATGCTAATTCTGTCAGACACATATTTAAGCAAACACTCGTGTGCAACTTTTATGCATGTAACATACTAACATTTTTAATATGGTGAATATTTTTTTGCTACAGACCTTAGCTTAGCTTAGCAGAGCGCAGAGGTACTGTTCCAAAATCTCCTGTCGCCTGGCTTAGCCTTAGCCCACTGCCCAGTGCCCACATAGCCTACAACTCTAAGTCTAAGGCAGCCGCCAGCCGGCAGGCCAAGAGCACGACAACCTAACGGGCTGCGTAAATAATTCATGAGTCATGCCTCACCAAGTGTACAAGACCCTAACGCTAGAAACGGCCCACGGGCCACGGGGACGACTGACGACTCAGCCTCTCAGTCTCTCACAGTCTCACTCATGTCTAAGAGACTAAGATCAACGATCACTAAAGTGACCGCTACTTCGGCGGCACAAAACTACGTAAGAAATTAAAATAATATTTTATTTTAATGGCACAAACATAAACCACTTACATTGCTTAATAATTATGTAAATCACGGATAAATAGAACAAATCCTCCTCGCTTCTTCTTCTTCTTTTTGGGGTGTCTACACTGGGTAGACTTAAAGCCACAGGTCGACCTCGAGGACGGCCGTTGGGCCTGAGAGCCTGTATTGTGTTTAAATTCTTCTGAGTAGGTAACCACTGAATTCTTGTTTATAGTAGGTCAGCGGATACAGTGGCTCAGGATGCAAACTGTGGAAAACAGGGCAAACATGGCACAAGAAAACATCCACAAGCAAGAGCCGCTGCTCAGACAGGATCCAACTACTTTTCGTATCAAACTAGAAGAATGAATTACAAATATGACAAAATAGGCTATCAGCCACGGCTATAAGCTAAAAAAATTGCGCTGCAACTTCTCCACGCGACAAAATTTTTTCTCGCTTCGAATCACCGACATGTGGAACAGCCTCCACGATGACATCGTTGGCGCTCCAAGTATGAACGCGTTCAAGAACAAACTAGATAAAGCTATGGAAAAATATATGTTCAGATTTGAAATGCCTAGCTCCTTATCGAACCCGGTGGAAGCCTAGTAGCTACTTCAAACTATCGCCAGTCATGAAAAGATCCGGTCAAATGACACGAGTTTAGATCTATGAACAAGGCACGAAAAGAAAAAAGAATCGGCGACAGGCCACATCAGGCCTACACTTTCAGCGCCGACATCACTATGTTATGTTATGTTATGTAGGACTGTTAGGCTAAGTTAAGATAGGTGAAATTATGTGGTGTATAGTGGGATTATATTTTGTGGTTATGATACAATTTCTTGAGTTAAATAAGATCATAGCGTGATTATTGAAAAAAATAAGAGCATTTGATTTGTGAGTGCTGATTACCGCTGTGCGCTGAACTCGCTAAGATTTATAGTGTGGCTATAGTGATATTGTTTCGATTGCGGGTAAAATCAGATTCAATGCATCAATTGTTTTATGTTGTGTAATTTCGACTATACGTACGCAGTTTTCAAATATAACTACCTTTCCTTGTGTTGCAAGAGTTATTCGTTGCTACTCACCAACATCTTCAGCATCATGGAAGCCGTTGCCAACGCGCAACCAGCGAAGGTGAGCGTAATAATTTCGACAACATATTTCTTCATAAATACTTCATATTCCTAAATTAATTGATCATTCTGCACACATTATCCCTTTTCCTATAATGTTCACTCATTTTCATGAGACAGCTATCGTATTGGTTTATTGTGATCATTTCGATTTTAGAGGCTAAATGTACCGTCAACGATGTACGACTCACTCAGATGTTTTAATAAACCGTATAATACTGTTCCGATCACGCTAGGCCGCTGGAGAGAGACGTTGTTCAGTTTTTTTTTTTAATTTATCGGTTCTATTGAATGCCAGCGACGTGAGCGATATGGTGACTTAGATGATATTGAAGCTATTAGGTTTAATATTTTCAACCAACTGTTTAGCTCTCTATGTTGACCATCCTTCCGAGCAGCGCTTGGTTACGCTACCTTAATAAAACTTATAATTATAATAGTTTGGACGGGCGTGAAATTTAAATATATTTCAAATAGGGAAGGGCAGGAATTTTGTGGCAACATTCTAAGATATAGGTTTCTGTAAGCTTCCTAAACTAACTGAATTTATCCTGAATAGTGCAAAACGCATTTATTTATTTCAGTTGGAGAGAAGACTGACAAAAATTTAAAGACTGAAGGTGCCCACCGAAATGGTCGCAACTTTTAGGAATGAGCCTGCTAAACCGCCTCTCGTGGCTGAAGAAATGTTGTATAATAACATGATGACCCAACACCCAAACAGAACCAAATATGAAGCTAAAGTTTTATACAAATACCACTGCAAACCCCAACTGAAGCAAGAGTTGGAAGCCGAAGTTAATGCTTCCCTTGCATTATACAAGAACGCCATCAACAATTTTAAGGCAAATCTTCCGCTGGAGCTGTGAAAGATTTACGTGGGACAAAACAGGGAAAAATTCTTGAAACTTTTCAAAGGTCATGACGTATTCCGGCGCGATTACCCACTCCAAGAATACCAGCCCTTCGAGGATGCGTCTAATTAACTTGCTTTACCTTTGAAACTACATGATGTTTTTTATCTATGTTGTTTTCATACCAAAAAGTATTTATTTCACTGTATCTGTTTATTCTTAGCCTGGAAATTAAATGTTTTGCCTAAGCTAGTAACCTAGCCTAAGTACACCAACTTTATTTATGTCAACTGAACTTTTATCGATAATGCTCCTCTCCGATTGGCTCTAATTCCTATGCTTATGTTGTTGTAGTATATGATACTACATGTTCGACATCGTACTTAGCAAAATCAAACAGCATATACATTCATCTTGAAAAAATCTGCAAAGTCTGCCAGAGACCGTTTTTAATGTCTACCACGTTTGGTTCACAGCCCAAATGCCTTCGTCCTGAACTTGATGTTAATCACTAATGTTTGAGCTCTGACTTCTATATTCAACTGTTCACACTCAGTGCTATATTATCAGACCAGGTAGTTCACTAGGCAGATTTGTTAGTTAAATAGTCATGACTTACTCCAGCTAGTTTAATACGGTTTATTATAGTTCCGGTCTGATTGCGTGCAGACGATGCCTTCAGAAATTTTCGTCTATATCGGAACGACCTGAGTCGAGACGGGAGATCAACTTGAATAGAAGCTAAGATGTTAAAGAGGCCTAGATGTTCTAAGAATTAAAGTAGTTACTTTTGTATACTTCTAATGTGCTACGACTATGGATAAATGAGTTACTGTTAAAATATGAACATATAACCTATATTCTTGCATGTTCTCAAGTTGTGCATTAATCGGCTTTCAAGTTGCAGTACGTCCTCCTTTTGTTATTTGAGCTTGTCTTCTAAATTGAGAGTTTCTGAGCATATTGTTGGCTCCCTTCTAAAGCTTTTATTACATAGTTAGTTTGCAATAAAACTATTCTGTATGCGCACTCTCATTCCTATTATTCTATCCTCCTGTTCTATTATTCTAATACGCAATAAAATCTGAGAATCGTTTTTCACCTCGCCGTACTTAGCTATAAATTATAAACATCATTATATACGCTTGAATTTAGTTTTTATTTAATTCTAAACAAGTTATGACAAGTTTCTCACTTATACCTTTATCGATTTACATTGCAATGAATTATTTTAAATCATTTTCAAGTAGTGTTGTTTTTTAATGATTGATTGGTGAACTACAGGAATGAATCATTGTGGCTGTTATAGACTCACTTAGCACGCTACTCATCAGGAATGACTGGACCAAATGTGCCGTTGTCCGCTGCTCACCACAGATAACGTCGCTCAACATTGCAGGGCGGCTCAGTGGTTATATTACAGAGTGCCTAAATTGTTGCAGTGAGTTACGGGTTCGATCCCAGCAAAACTAGCTCTCTGCCGCCACTAGTAAAGTTTCATCCCATCGTGCGTTTACAATCGTAAATTTAAGCGTCATATGAAGCATATGTATTCGACCAGTTAGGTACGACGAATTTAATCTAATTTGACCTAACGGAAAGTTTTTTGGAAATGTATCTATATAAAGGTCAAGCTTTGTATATCAACCAATGATAAAAAAACAGTTTTTATAACGGTAAAGCTTTGTAAATGAATCAATGATATATAAAAGCGGTTTTTCGCTACTCAGGGGAAAAAAAGCGGTAAACTGATGAATTTTATTACGAAACGTGCATTTTTACTGTCCAATTTTCTCAAATAAAAGTAAAATTCTACTTATAAAGCAAATTGAAGATCAATGGAAATGTAACATTCAATTTCAATGCTCATAACCAACACAAAATTTTAAAATCCATCGCAACGCAGCCTATACTTCATAAATTTTAATTACGCTTTCATGGCATGAAAAAATCTGAGCTCTACAATTAAGTAGTTGACGAACATCGGATGTGTTGTCATTATTAGAATACTTAGTAAAGGTTTGACCAGCATGAGGATTGAGGCCATACATACTTTTCTGTTCATAGTACAGCAAAGTTTAAATTATGTCATAGACATAATTCCCGAAAGTTATGAAGGCGTTTATCTTAAATGCAAGTTTATCTCACAGAAACAGCACAAAATTTCTCGACTTCCCCAAGATTAATTTTCATTTAGCAGTTCCTGATCAATAAGCAAAATAAACTCGAATCCCTGATCAACGTTAACAAACGTTATTAATCTTATTATCAACTGAAATTATTGAATACGAACGGGTGATTTTACAGCTAAACGTCGCATGAAGGTCACTCATAAATAACAGTAAACAAAATAATTGCCTGATGCAATTTCAATCGAAAATGATTAGTTTAATTCTAAAAAAATAATACCCAACGTATTGGGATTAATTTACACAAGAACAACCAATCATACTGGTAAATAATTTTCAAACAAAATATGAAGGCTCAATTTGCTATATAAAGATAAACGTGGCAATTTTGAGGTTAATGGTGGCTACCCCAACAGGACAACCCCAAGAATTGTAACGCATTTCAATTGATCAATGTTCTTATAGGCAGATGAACAGTCTCAGTACAAAAGGATATACTTTAAGGGTTCACATTTTAATTCGGAAAATGCCGTTGTTCTAATCGATAAAAATTTTAAATCTACATGAACTCTTAATCAACAAATAATAATAACTAATAGATCGAAAAATAACATGTTGGCATGTGTACAAGCAAATCTCTGAACGTAAAAAATAACAGCAAACGAGCTTTTTTGCAAATTTAATGAAAATAATATTATTAAATCAAGCTAACAGAAACATATTTGTAGACCTAAAAAATTTGGACAAATTCAGGCTCCCAGGAAGACGCCAAATGACCATCACGGAAAATATTCTGGTCAACAAGGTTACTTAATGGAACAGTTAAGAAGATGGCCAATCGTGGAAAAGTCAACAAAAAATTCCTTAGAAGGCCTCTAAGCCAAGACCGTGAGTTCAAGAGCTTTAATTTTCTTCCTCGCATGCTCAAAATTTGGCTCGGTGCTCAAGATACGCTGGAAAGCTAGCACTTTCTGGTTGAGAATTCTATTCTCCTGCTTGAGAATCTCGTTTTCGCTGACAAGAGCATCAATATGATGCATCTCGTTCCGGTTAGGAGACTCTGCGGCAGCGGGAGTAACAGATGAAATCATTATTGGAGATTGGGACACAATCTCGGCATCATCTTCACGAGCTCTCTTACGGCGTGCCTGCACTGGAGTGGCCGGTTTTTTGGGCGAGGCGTTAGAATTCTTATCCTCATCCTTGGGATCATCGGTATCCTTGTTGAAGTTTGAATTGTCTGCTGCATTATGAGGAATTGAAATTTTCTGATTGTCATTGCACAATACAGAAAGCTTCTCGTCCTTGGTAATGCACTGCATGGCGTGAACAGGAGGAGCCCTACTGTTGTCTCCAGAGTTCAAGTTGACCGGTAAAGGATTAGCAGGTACAATAGAAGCCACCCTAGAAAGATCACAGCAAACTGGGGGCGAATTCTTTTCCTCGCCAGTAAAGGTGAGGCGAGCAAACACACGAGTCGGTCGATTTAGTATAGAAGGAGCCACCATCTTATTGATTGATAAAATGGTAATGTTACAGAACAAATCACACGTTGGCCCAAGGTTCACCCACAATATTCGGTGAAAATCCCTGAACCTGTACTTGACGTTTATGAAAATTCAAAGCTTATAGTATTAATCAAAAATTTTCTCAAAATATATTCTAGATACAAAAAATCCTATCTAACCCAGTAAACTTGCAAAGAAAAGTTGTTAAGTTTTTAATGGAAATAAGCTTTGTTTCACTAGACTTTGAGGCTATGTTCTCTACGTGAAATGAATTTTTGAAAATAATTCCCGGTTATTAATTGATAATAGATTGATGTTATAACTATTTATGATAGATAAAAAGGAGCAATAGCAAAAAAGAAACTAAAGATAGAAATACTCTATACTTCAGCTCAATTTAAGCTATTGAAGATTTAATGAGGAAGGTACCAAGTGAACTCGATAGAAACTTTCTATACAAGCTCAAGTGCGCTAGCCTGGATAGACCTAAACAAATAATTTCTACCCAGGAAACACCTTGATAGAAATTTTCTATACAAGATGATGGCACAATACTGGATTAAAATTATCACAAATCAGTCCAACAGAATTAACTGAGAACCTGATATGAGCACAAAACAATAAAAATTGCAGTGAAGTAAGCTTGACTGAAATACTCAGTACAAGACTTAGATACACAGCGAAACTAAGTTACAAGGAATTAGCAGTCGTTCTAAGAAGCTTCGATGAAGCTTGGGTATTTCTTGAGCGCGTGAGACTGGCTTCGTCCGAAGCACTGGCAGTGACTGGTTAAACTCTCAGGCGGCAGCTTGCAGGGGATGACAACGGATCCTGAGGAAAAAATTACAGTCAACTGACGAAGAAAACAGATTTTTTAATTAATGTTAGATTGTTAGTATCTAGTAGCTAATAAATTAAAGTTTATTTTTTCTCAATGCTTAATGACGCAAATGGCATTAAATTTGTGTTCCGGTATAAGATTTAAAAGTTTTTAGTGCCATTAAATTAAATTTTTAAAAATTTAATATTGAAATTTCTATTACTATTAAATACTACTAAAAGTTTATTAAACTTTATTTCCCAAGTTCAAATGATAAAACGAATTTTGTGGTGCGCATATCGACCACTTCGGAGTCAACGTGTTAAATATTACTAGCAGTAGCGCGTTTCGTATTAATTTTCTTTCATATACTGTATACATATAGTACAAAAGTCAAAAGCACAACGACTTGAAGATAGTAGCCTATCGTACCTATGTAGATCTGTAGGACTGTAGCTAATGAAAGGTCATTCAAATTTCAAAGTATGTAGGCTAGGTAGGCTAGCCTACATCCAATGAATTTTACATCAAAGTAGCATGTGAAATAAATTCAAACTGCTAGAAAAAAATTTTAGGGAAGAATTACGATGCACATGAAATGAATGTTCTTGACTTCATGCGTTTATGACGTAACATTTAGTAATAAATTAGCTATAACTCATTGATAACGAAAGTTAGGAATAACTCAACACCTCCTGCACAATGCACATCAAAATACCTAAATAACAAACATGGCTCCTAGTCCATTTTAAAATTAATTACATGAAATATGGCGCTTGCCACTTGGAGAGGCTTGGATACTTTTTTCTAACGAATCAAAATCGAAAATGACGTCAATTCTATCTGCGTTCTGCTGTCCCAAGGTCATACAGATATGTGGCAACATGCCTGTTATTTGCAATTTTTAAATTCATTCAAAAAGTACTTATAAATCAGAAAGAAATAAGCACAGTTATTATAATGAATTTTTCAAGTTTTCAATTTAAAATTAGCGCGGAACTAAGCTGAGCAATCTAATGTGGCGTAAAAATCAAGCTCTAAGATTGCAAGGCTCCGAGAAACTTCGTAATTGATGACGCAAACGTCCTACGAACACACCTTAACAACACGGTGACGGACACGGGTTCATAAGCACAAGAGTATGGTTCTCTAGAGTCACTTCACGTTTCAGGAAATGCATATTGATTGAAAAACTCATTGAACAAAGCAAGAAATAATTCGAAGAAGATTTCCCGCAGCACCGTCCTGCTCAAAAGACGCTGCTTAGCCGACTAGCTCCACAGCTTTCGGTACGGCGCACGATAAGTAGAGCCACCGAACGTTCTGTGTGCAGCGTTGCCACATCTTCCATTGCCACGACGATTTGTACCACAGTTTCGTCGGATCCCTTCATAATTTTTAAACTATCTTTCCCGCATATAAAGTATATTCACAGCGTTACAACAAAAACTTTGAATTGTTACACTTGGATGGTACTTATGTGATTATTTTCTAAATTCACTGATGTTTGAAAACTTATTGCAACCAGACAAGGGATTTCATCATGCTCAAATAATCAGGCTGAAAAGTCCTTATTTATCACTACATAAGTTATCATTTATTTCCTGTAGATTCCCTGATGTGGCACAAAATTTTGATGACAATGTTTAATATCAAAATTAAATTAAACATTATCAACTTAGCCGAACACTTTCATCGCATAATATCCAAATGAGAAAGAAATTGGGATCCTATTCCTATTCTTTACTATAAAAGAAGTTTGATGGTTATTCTTGATCACTAAACGAATAAAATTTGCATTTTACCAATCAACATATGGTAGTGACCTTCTTTTGCGTTTCTACTGATTCTAAATTTTTATATCAATAGAGGAGCTATAATTTTGACATTTTTAGATCCGAAACGTTCATCGAACGGTGAACAAATAGGAAGTGACGTGACAATGATCATGTGGAATAGACGATCAATGTTCTCAAATGCTATTGATATAATGAAAACTGTTAAAAATACGTAGCCGTTACGGCGTTAGTAAGAACCACACGTAACAAAGATTAAATATTATTCAATTCGTAAAATCATTATTGAACTGGCATCATATCACTATATATCATATTTTTGGCTATTATGTAAACAGATTCTAAGGGAAATATTATTAGTAATTAGTTATTCTCAATGCTTGACTCGACTTGTGGGCTAAATAAGATGACGCAACAAGACCTAAAATCGTCGCACATGTCGGTCTTTTTGAAGACTGCTTATCGCCGGTCGCAAATACTGCCAACGAAGATTATACATACAGAGACAGTATATATATGTTCGGTTAAAATGCAGTTGAAATGAAAGCTATGGTTGATACTTTGCATACGTAAACTTATCTGATAAAACCTTGAGCTTCAACCTGTAATTTGACTTGAACGTATTGTTATCACCTATGTGCATAAGAATAGCCTTTTGGAATCATACTTTTATGAGCGATAACGTAGGTAACGAACTCTGATTTCAAGAATTTTCTTATTATTGTGAAGGACATTATTTCAGCATTAAACTGCACCAAAACAATAAACGAATGTTTCTCTTTAAAATTTTAGGAAGTAACCGGAAAGCTTGACCCCAAGTTTTTTCAACAACAAATACCAAATAAAATTAGGATACTTCCACAATTAATTTAATTAAATATACTTAATTGCATTCAAAATTTGTTTTTACTATTAGGAATTTTCGAAAGGACTAAACTCTATTTCTTGTCATAAGGTTTTTGGTCTAACTGGTGGTGTAAAATATTACAAAATTTGCTGCTAGAGAAGAGAAACTAACGAATATGATGCAATCGCCACTAGGGCCGTGGGTTTATAGAAGTGATCACTGGACGTTCACGTTCCAGTGACACTAGAATGGAGACTGATACGAACGTTGGACGAGCGCCTCTTACTACGTACACATGGGACGTTTTTGGAGGTACGAACTTGTTACAAACTAAAGAATACGAAATTAACTTACCTCTCATAAGACATGTAACGTTTTTTGAAGATACGAACTTGTTACAAACTAAAGAATACGAAATCAACGTACCTCCCACAAGAAATTTAAAGTTTTTTGAAGGTACGAACTTGTTACAAAATAAAGAATATGAAATCACTGAGATGATTTTGTCATGCAATAATGTACATAAATTATAAATATTGCATATGGATATATCTAACATATGGAACTATAACTTCTCATGACAAGTAACGTGACACTCTTTCAATTTAATTTAAGTACATCCTTAATGACCTACCGTACTTGAATATGTGGAATCAACCCAGACAAGATGATGTATTAGCCAAAATAAGAGTGATGAATGTCGTTAACGAAATTTGTTCATGACAATACAGTAAGTGACATTCGTTTTGTATGGTAACTCGCAAATTTCAACTATCAGAACGCATTTTAATTTTAGGCATTATTTAGGTTATACATAAACTGCATTATTATTCAAAAACTGAACGGAACTTTAAAAAGTTACGATTGTGGCAGGCTCACGTACGTCGTGCTACTAGATTCATCCAGAACATGACCATAATTGCATCATGTAAACTACAGTGACGTATTAATTGAAGCACCTATATTACACTGATTAATTGATATGGATATGCAAGGTGTAACCATGAACCATGAGAGAAATAACAGACGGAACAACTCAGAACACGAATAACCAATCAGTCTTCATTTGTTTAAATTTCATTTAAAGATAGATGTGATTCTTCTTCAATTCCAAAACTTCTCTTTAACTCATCGGTAATTTTACTGAATGATTACAGATAGAGGCGGATAAAATTGCAATTCTGATCATTTCAGTTCTAATTTCATTTGAATATATGATAATAGTTCCTAAGTTTTAATATTTATACGCATATCTGTTATTATTCGTACAGTTACCAAATTTTATTTTAAAATTATTTCTAGCTTTCAAAGGTTGCAAATCTGAGCATTTCATTTCCATATTTTGAAACGCGTTAAGAAGAATGAAGATTTATAGTAGTGCTTTCCCATGCATCATCTATATTCTATAAGTACCAGTAGTTTTCTAGGAAGTGACATCTGCCACGTAAGAAAAGCGTCATACATTAGTTGGACGTTGACTAAGTGAACGTGACAGGAAACTAAGGAATACAGCAGGTCAGACCAAGTCAAATGTGTAAAGCCCAAAGATGCCATAGGCTTCTCTTGCAAGCCCCACATTGTTCCCCATGGAATTTGTTCTCAGGAACGTTTCAGCAGAAACAGACGTGAATTCCACTCACATTGTAATTAGAGAATATCCGCCCTGACTCAGTCACAACACTCACCAATCTAACACAATCGCATTGTGAGATCATAGATGTGATTAGGTCTTTGAGTCAAACACGGCACATAATGATGCATTTGCATCCATTGCTCTTGTGATGCTTCAGATAAGATACATGAAACGTTCTGGGTATTATTGCAGATTAACTACATCCAAAAAAAGGGTGTTTTTTTTTAATTATATGTTTTTTGGGGTGTAGATTACGAATCTGAAATCCATTTTTGGCGGTCGGCATCGGAAAACCGATTTTTTGCAATAATACCGATCACACGTAGCGCACGACATCTTGAATGAAACTTACCCGTTGCACTGCAACGGGTAAAGAAGACGAAAATGTTACCCGTTGCACTGCAACGGGTAACATTTTCGTCTTCTTTGTCCATAAATCTGGAGATACATTGCCACATCGAGAGATCACAACCTAACGCCAACTCGCAGGTTGGGTTGGTTCGCCCAGGTTCCTTTTAGATCAAAATGCTATCTAAAAAAAGGAACTTGGCTGACTTAACCCAACCTAAGAGCTTTTTGTAAAATTTCGATGAACAATCCGACCCTTTATATAAAGGTGAGTGGGTAACGTAAGTTACGTAACCCCCATGTTAGTAAGTCGCGAAAAAAATCGGTTTTCCGATGCCGACCGCCAAAAATGGATTTCAGATTCGTAATCTACACCCCAAAAAACAAATAATTAAAAAAAAACACCCTTTTTTTGGATGTAGTTAATCTGCAATAATACCACGTTCTGCCGCGAATTGATCGCAAACAATAACAACGCTCGTGATCGTGATTAAGCATTAGCAATACTTCTGAGAAATTTTATCAGTTACCACAATGCGGAGATACCTGACTATTTTAGAAATTCATGTTGATAGACAATACATTATATATATTGTTATAGTTAGGCAGAAGTTCTCATTAATATAATTATTTTATAATAATTTAATTAACAATAAAATAATATATGGTCTTCAACAAAAATTGTATTAAAGTTACCATCATAATAGACTTAGAGTGAGTATAAAGTTCAATGCATAGTATAGCAAAGCTCGTAATTCTGCAAATAATTCCAGCACGTGGGAGAAAACTTTGTACTGAACGTTCTCGCACACGCGGCCACAACTTCCCTTTCAGTTTGGAGAAGTCGTACGACAGCGCCATGTCTGAGGTCGTTCCTACAGCACGATGCAACAAAGTGAACATTTTAATAAACAGACAACATGATGTAAAAACGTACAAATTCACAATAAGTGCGTATCGTTTAGCAACGTAGCGCGGAAACACGTGACTGTTTTCCTTTACACTTAGGTATCCGGGATGCCTTGCTGCTAATCGTTCTTTTCACACTTCAATGACACATAGGATGCCATTGTATTTACGTATGTCACCAACCCCCAAAGGAAACGATACGTGGTTGAAACAGAATTTAACCTGAACTTTCTAGTAACTTCCAAGCAACTTAGCAATTTAAATGTGTTAATAATACAGATCGTGTTTTTGATCAGATGTTCGTTTCTACCGCCACCTGCTCCTGCAGTGACACGTTTTTTAATGTGAAATCACGTCTTCAATTCAAAATTTAGGTCTACAGCGCCTTCACTGCACATGAAAACCTTCGTTAACTTGGGTAGGGAGGCGAATGTCTGTTCTAATATACAAGAATATATTAGTGGGGATCTACTGTAATTTTCCCACACAGATCTCTAACAGCAATTTTTAATGTTAACATAAGTCATGTAGTTACCTTTAAGATAACAAAGTTGTTAAATACGACATGGAATTAATCATAACTGACCTGGTACAATTCAACTTAATGCGCCAATGTATTTCCTAGACAGGCCACGGAACGTTCAGGGCAATATCGTCAGACCGGTTCTGCTGACTTAGGGCTTTCAGCTTCAACTAAAGCTCCATCACAGCGCTGATCTTCAAGCGTTCAATCGAATGATGAGTAGAACTCGAGCATAATTTTTGACAAGCCTCGACACAGAATTTTGTTGTTGTCATGTTTAGGCTTCGCCTCGGGTGTTTCTCCACGTAGATAACGACTTGAAGATAATACTGATATCAAATCGTCTTCCTTGCATCATATAAATTATTGAACGAAAGTGATATCTGTTAAAGAAGGCTTCTATACACTCACATTTAAAGATTTGCCATAAGTCAATACCCGTTTAAGGTAATTAAAAAGTTTATGTGGTGAGTTCTTCGAATGTTGACTTGAATGATCTGTGAGAGCTGAGGAAATAACTGCCCAAAATTTCGCAATGCCTCAGCATTCCACGAATAAATTTTTTTTTTCTAGCTCGAAAGTAACCAGGAACGACAAATAATGTGGATAAGCGTTCGAATACACTCCTATTTATATGGTTGATCGCAGGCTTCAAGTTACTAATGCTCAAGAATATTCATAATTATGTGCGCATTAGAACGATAAGGGGACACGCGCAGGGTTGAATCTGATTACAATTAATGAACTAGCGTCTGGTGCTGTAAAATGAGTAAGGATTAGAAATGAATTGGCGTTCGGCGCTGTAAAATCACGGTAGATTAGGTAAAGAAGTAAGTTTCCTACTAAAATAAATCATAAACTTTACAATAAATCGCTATAAATGTCTACAAGATGCCCCATGTTCGCATTTCGAACGATCGCAAAGATGCAGGAGCGTCAGTTGAAGTTCAGAGACGGAATAGAATCGTGCGAACTGCGATCGAATCTACTAGATCTTGAGGAAGCAGACGTTGGTTTGGTTACGCAGCTGACTCAATTCTTTAAATGACTCGCGATAAAAATGTTTAGGAAACCATTAATACAAGGGATATAGAAACAAATAATCTGTACACAGATTTATACAACACAGCTGAAGCAAAACCAATGGCAAAAATCAAGTGACAAGAAAAGACATGGAATCTTGTTGCAAACTAAAATGTCAACCATTAGAAAAAGTTGAATATGCAAATTTTCTAATCCAAATTCAAAACCGCGTAATAGTTAGGCAATAAACTAGATGTACAACAAAGAGGAAGATGAATTGAAACTATGCTGGTAAACAAGAGAAGCTAAGTTATTAGAAGAAGGACTTGCATTCCTCTTATGATTCGCACGAGAATCTGGTGTAAAAATTAATTAAATTTCATTTCCTCCCAAAGCCTGTATTAATAAACCAAGAACAAAATTTCATTTCCGAAAAACCATAGGAATTATAGCTGATATTTGGAACTAGACGACGGGTTTTCCTAATTACAGGAAGCATCTCCAAAGAAATGAAGGTTTCTAAAAATTAGTTTCTGGTAAGATTTTCCGGAAAAAATGACATTGTTGGGCCAACTCAAACTCCTTTTTGTTTACTGTAGAATACGTTAGGAGAAGAACGTTCTATGAAGTAAATTTAGCTGCATTGTGTTCGTTGAAACGTTTACTCTCGTAATTAAGTATGGTGGTTGAGGACGCCCGGAATAATCTGCCTTGCTCAATAAGGAAAAGCTGGTTTTGATGATCAAGAGATTGTCATCAACTAAATTAAACGCGGTAAATTTGACCAGGCCACTGCACTACCACTAATAAAAGAACGCAGTAAAATATTGCCAGGTTTTTTACTCAAGCTTGGAATAAATCAAGTCAACGTGCTTGCGCGCGCACACAGTAAACGAATAACGGCTTTGTGCAGAATAAGATTAGACCAACTACTGTTGCTGGCGCATTTTCTCATTTATGGAAAAAATTCACTATTGTGCTCGCCATGTCCGTCTGTCTGTCTGTCCGTGACCTCAAGTTTTCGTCGACGAGAAAATGCGCTCTCTGTCACTCACTGCAGTGAGTACTGAGTTATATTTTTGTTGACATTCGCCCGGTCATCGGATGTGTGGTGATAAAATTGATCAACAAGTCAAATAAGGTTCCATAAAAACACTTGCGTTTCTCCAAACCAACGCAGCTAATCCGAGACAAGCCTAATGATATTATGGTATTCGTAGAAGTTACGATATAATAATAATTTCAATGGAAATTACCTTTGTACATGCTTGGAGAAAATGAAGTACATATACGATGTCGCGTGTAACAGCGAACGAATGATTAAACACAACAAAAGCTAATACTCAAAAAGAAAGATGTAAACGTGACACGCTCGCTAAAACTTAAATCCTTAATTTAATCACCACATAATGCCCTCAGCTCTTAATTGTTAGCTAACAGTACAAGTAGTTCGTTTAAATAAAAGCTGGTACGGAGAAGAGAGAAAAATTAAAGTATAGAAATAAATTATTTCCAATAATTTTTTCAGATGCAATTACATACGCAGCAGTTTAATAATTAGCTTTTGTAAGCGTTATGAATAGAGAGAAGGCCATTTAAAATATAAAGAATTAACTGAATCAAGACCTTTAATAATATAAAAACACAATAAGTAGGAAGCTTTCGTTACCAAGAAAACGAAAGAGAAGTAAAATATTCCTGGGAACCTAACCACATACGAGATGCCAACTTGAAGTCTAAAAGTGTCAATGAAACGTACAAGAAGAGCTGAACAAAAGCTTGGGATAAATAAAAGTATGCCTGCTCATTAAAAAATTAAACGACGAGATGTGTTGGAGTTCCGCATGAACGAAATAAACATTCATAATCAAATAAAGCTTATAGCTAACAATAATACACAAACTTAACAGCAGAAGTTCTTGCTTAAACATCGTCCTAATTACAGGCCTGTTGATGATACATTTCAGTGGAAGCAATACAAGATCAAACAGCACGCGGTGAATTATCCGGCAAAAACATACTTTTTCTATCGAACCCAGGATTCTTCAATACATGAAAATGCCACAGTTTTGGCTATCAATGCAATAGAGGTAGAAATATGATATAGTTGACGTGATTAAAATATATTTCAAGCATATTCATGTTTCGTGCACGAGTTGGCATTAATTACACACGAAGATAATAGTTAGGCATGTACGAACAGCACAGACCTGCATCTGGTGCAACTGCTTTGAAGCCCACGTAATTGCGGGTAACATGGAACCTTTACATTAGTATATAAAATCAATACATGAATCTTTAGGGCAGGACGTAATTTTATTGTAAAACGTACATTTAATAATTTTGTTGTTGCCGACCTTTCAAAATCAGACAGAAAGAATTCGTCATAAATACGCTTTGAGCAAAAAGTTTAAATACATAATGGTATATCAGAGCATCAAATAATTTCAATATGTTTTAACCATCATTAATTCATCAAAATTTTCTTTGACTAAGAATTCTAAACGATGCATGACGAGATATAGCTCGAGAATAACAGAACCGAATCATCATTAAACAACAATCATTAAGTTGAACTCGACCACAAAACTCGAATTAGGCGCAAAGTCAACAAGTGCTACAGCCTAGGTACTAATAATCATAACTACGTGAGGTTAGAATTTTTCTTTCGAAGTTACAAATATTCTCATGGTTGTAGCGGGATAAAGTTCATATATTGAACTCATAACAAATACATTAAAAACATATTTTTTGCCATTGCAGGTGAAATAAAATTTGCGGGTATATGGAGAAAATCAGTGAAACGCACACATAAATCACAGAATATCAGTGTATGTGACTTGGAATACTTCCAAGTTCAGCAATGAAAACAATCGCCACACGCATACAAAATACGGGAACAAACCCAGGATTTTCAATATCGTCAAGTGAATGCTTGCTGATTCCCTGACGCTTCAGACTGAGGAAAACTATCAAGATAATAGCAGCGAAGGGAATATTGATAATAATTTTCGTATTTTTCTAATTAAATTAGCTTAGTAAAAATGTACCACCCAGCAGCTAATGACAGACATTGATGATATATAGAACGGAAATAATTCACGCTTAGAAGGCGAAAGCGTTCGGGCACATCAGCATGAAATAGAACGAATTTTAATGACATTTCCAAGCTTTTTCTGTGTAAAAAATGCAACGCCTCAAAACCAGGTAATACCTACATGATAAATTGACTTGATATCGTAAGATAAACCAGGAGACCATCATGACAATTTATCGCTTCTAATCCCATTGTAGAGATCAGAAAGATCAACTTCTTCTAAAGCTTCAGGGTGAGTCCCCACAGAGTTAAAGCGTTCCTAAAAGTAGACATCCTCATACTCTTTGATTTGCGTGGAACAAAAAGTGGCTCACAAGCCGGAAAATATAAAGAAATTTTCTACTGGAATCATACGCCTGTGAAGAAAATCCTACACACGAGAGGCCAATTTTTTCTGCAACTTTCAGACAAAGAAAAAGGAGCACATATGACAATGTCTACATTATACAATAATTTCTACCTCCGTTCATTCTGCGACTGGCAACTGACAGTTAAGAGCGAGCCTGGATGGACTGACGGACAGAACAAAAGAAAATCTCTACATAGAAAACTAACTTAGTATCCAGATTTACTGTACTAGTTAAAAATATGAAATCAATTCGTAGTCTAATCCCTATTCAAATCCAATAATAAACTCCAAACGTTGCAGTACAAAAGTGGATGGTTAGCAGACAAGGACTACAAGGAAAATAATATTAAACAGCCCGCGTTCCATAATTATGATGCTCATCTCCAGCAAAGCTCGTACGGCGCACGTCTTAGTCCACCTTGACGACGCTGTAGATCTTGCGCACGAACCAGAAGCACGCGCAGAAACCGATCGTGCCTGGCGAGAGAGAAGTGCATTACTTATGGAGCAGTAATGCGCCTAAAATATTACTTCATGTAAATTAAGGCTTATCTGTGAAATACTAATTAATGGTTGATTGGGGTGAGGTGTATAGCGCTAATAAATTAAGAATAATCTGCGATATACTTAAGAATAGCTAATTCTTAAATTCTCTAATCTCTTAATCTTAAGAGTATTTAATCTCAAGTTTAGCGTATGGCGAGTCTATTTGCATAGTTAAAGCAGTAAATATTAAGTTTGGAGAACTAGGAATTGATCAACTCAAGGCATTACCTGTGAGTAGGAAGAACAAGAAGACCATGATGATGGTGTAGCCGAAGTAGAGCAACGTCGAGACGAAGCCAGAAATGTTCAGTTTGGTGGCAAAATAATGCACGCAGTAAATGAAGAGGTAGAACGCAGTGAATCCTGAAGTGAGGTAACTGCGCCACCACCAGTGGTAATCCTGCGGAAAATGGTAATCAATTATGAGAAACAATTAATGAGGTAACTACGCCACCACCAGTGGTAATCCTACGAGAAAAGGTATTAAATTATGTAGTAGTAGTAGTAGTAGTAAAAGATTTACTAGCGCTTCAGATAGCTATCTATTTCGTGCCGGAGGTGAGGTTTTCAGCTACGTCAAAGATGTCTGGTCTCTTCCGTCTTCAAGGCTTATAGCCTGATCCATTTTAGGCGCAGGGGCTGGGCGGTAGATTCCCTGCTCATGGAGCGAGGGTCCGCTCCGACTTCATGTATCAACTCCAGCGTAAGCTTAGTGAGGCTTGGTCTAGGTGATGACAAGGTGCGATTATAGTCTCGCTAAAGGCGGTGGTGCAAGTGCATATGACCGACCAGCGGGCGGTGGCGTTACGGGGTCATGCTAAATATCTGGCAGCAGGTTGCATTCCATCAGGTATCGTCTAAGGTTATCGGTTTCGAAGTTACTTCGCCGGTCCTCCCGCAGCACTCTAGTGAGCATCTCGTCATGATCAAGGGCGGATGTGTTGGAGTAGCAGTTTTGTCGGATGTCGTTGTGGCTAGGGCACTCCGCCAAGACATGCAGAACTGTCAGGGGCACCAGGCAGTCGTCACAATATGGTATAGGGCGCCGTTCAATCAAGTAGCCGTGAGTGAGGCGCGTATGGACAATCCTCAGTCTACACAGAGCTATCTCCATTTGTCGAGATCTCTGGTACGATGAGCTCCATGCTGATACACTGTCCTTGCTTGTTCTCAGTTTATTGTTTCTCGTGTTCAGGCACAGCTCGCGCCATATATGGTGAACGCTGGTCCTGATGCGGGGGTAGTGGTCCCGGCATGGGACGTCCTCCCTATAAATGGCCGCGTCCGACGAAGCAGCGCCCACCGCCGCCTCATCCGCCCTGTCGTTTCCCCGCACCCCCACGTGTCCCGGGACCCAGCAGATGCTTATCGTTTTTCCCGCCTCCACCAGGCGCAAAAGCCAGGCCAGAATTTCCAAGATAACAGGATGTTTGCTGTTGTAGGTTCTCAGGGCCTGCACTACACTTTTGGAGTCTATAAATATTGTAAAGTTACGTTCGGGGTGGTCATCTATAAGGGCCAGGGCACAGAGGACGCCAGACAATTCCACCGTATAAATTGAAGCGTTGGGGCTCAGTCGTCTTGATATTATTGTTGTGTCGGTCGTAGCCGCACACTCCACTGCGTCGTCCGACTTTGAGCCGTCAGTGTATATATGGGTCGAGTTTGTATGCTTTGTAGTTGCGTGGTCCAGGAAAAGGTTTTTCATCGCAGTTGCCAGAGTGCACCGTAGTCTTCAGATGATGGGATGTTATATGGAAATGGGTTTGCTTGGTCTTCGGTCATTACAGTGAGCCATGTTGGAGATAACGGTAGTTTTTTGAGGCGAGTAATCATCTGTAGCGTAAGCTGCGCTCGGCGGAGATACAATGGTGGTTCTCCACTTTATGCATAGAGGCTGATGGTGGGGGATGTTCTGTATGCTCCAGTACATATCCTGATGGCAGCGTTGTGGATTGGGTCTAGTAGCGCTAGTGTGGTTTTTCCTGTAAAGGCAGAAAAGGGTTACACGGTCAGATCTCCACGACTGTCCGGTTAGGTGCTTCAGCAAATTCATCCTCTTAAGGACGCTGCCTTTTAAAGCCCGCACATGGGGTCTCCATGAGAGTTTGTTGTCCCATATCATACCAAGAAATTTGGCTGTGGGGGACACAGCGACTTGCTGGCCTTGTAGGAAAAAAGGAGGGGGTTGTTCTTGAGAGCGACTTCGCTGGAAGTGCATAGCAACGGTTTTGTCGCTTGAGAATGAGAATCCGTGAGCCGTGGTCCACTGGTTTGCGCGGTTTATGGCAGTTTGTATTCTGCGTACGAGAGCGGGTAAGTATCGAATCGAGATGAGGCATAGATCATGAAGTCATCGACATAGAGCGAGGATTGTATGCTGGGGGGCAAGCTAGTGGTGACATCGTTGATGGCCATCAGGAACAGGGTGCAGCTAATCACACAGCCCTGTGGAACTCCCTGGTATTGCACCCACACAGGCGAAAAAGAGCCCCCCACCCTCACCCTGAAGGACCGCTCATGCAGAAACTCCCTGATGTATAGGGCCAGGTTGCACCTAATCCCAGCCTTGTGGATGGTCTGAAGTATGCCGTGTCGCCAGGTGGTGTCATAGGGTTTTTGCATATCGAAGAATACACAGATGATGTGTTATGTGAATTATGTGAAACAATCAAGGAGGTGAGAAACAATCAATGAATTATGAGAAATAATCAATGCGCCAGCGTTAGTGGTAATCCTACAAAAGATGGTAATAAATCGTGTTGAACAAGTGAAGCAACTTCGCCACACACGAAAATTTAATCCTGGAAATAAAACCAAGCAGTTTTGCTCAACAAGCACGCGAGGTAACTTAGCCAGGATTGTGGCATTGAGAACCATTTTTACTACTATTTTAAAAACATCGGCTCGTTCGGTGAAAAGAGCCGTATCTTAATACGGCTGTTTAGTTTAGGTAAGAATAAATAAAGGGAAACATGTTAGTAGATAAGAGTTCAACTGTATCGTTGGATAAAAAAAATGAAAACCTATCGCGTCGTCGAAGCATCACTTCACTCCCTAACCAAGAGATAACTCGAATAAAATGCAATGTAAAAAACCATATCAAGGAATGAACGATTTTACAAACAGACCATGCATTAGTCTGTCATCAGCAAACTTGCAGTTATAATTCCTTCCCGCAAAAAAAATTTGCACGAATACCTCCATATCAAAGTCATCAATTGTTTCCTACTTCAAATTTTATTTGTTGATGAAGTGACTTTAGAAAAACATTATCACTTCATTTTTTTGATTTCCCATGCGATTATGGCATATCGACTTTAAAATTGAATTCTCCCTTCTAGATAATTTTTCTTCGCACATTATCATATGATAATCTACTGCACTAGAATTGTCCTAGAATTGTGCTCGATACAATATTTCTCATTACATTTGTTTGCATTAAAGATTTTAAAGAGATAAAATTGAGGAATTAGTGGCGCACCTCAGCACAGAGATGGAAATAGCAGAGAAGTATGGTAGTCTCGCTGCACGTGATGCACAGAATGAGGAACACGAGGAACAAGAAGCCGAACATGTAGTAGGTCTGGTTGGACCAGATCGAGTTCAGGATGAAGAACAGCTGGATGAAGATGCAGCCAAACGGCAGCACGCCGCCCATCACGCTGCCGGGCAGAGGCTTCGTGTAGATGCTCTGGTCGGGGATCTGGCGCGGGATCTTGTTCGTTCGTACTGGGTTCTCCAAAGTCTGGAATACGACGCTCATGTTGAAATAATTATAAAGTTAATCCGTTCTTAACAATGTTAGAGGCTTACAATCTGGGTTCTAGAATGTTTGAAATGCACACGACGTTTAAGAACCTGGTTATGAGTTAGTGTACAGGATGAGATGTGCAAATCAAACAATTTCCATAGCAAATTCAGTAGGTTTTCTGCTTTGTTGGGTATAGGCTTCAGTAATGTTGGGACGGTTTTAGAAAATTTAAACGCCACACAAGCACTGTATGATCAAGGTAACATTCGAACCGTATTCCAAGTAAATCGTCATCAAGCCATAATCACAGACAATTATCTCCTATTAAAATTCCGGTTCACGTGTGATCAGAGTAAATTTCTCTTGAGCAATAAGAGGTGGATATTTGCAATTGTATTAATAATTGTTAAGGGGAGCGTCTACCCTAAAATTGAAAATTTCCACTTTTTCGGTTTTTATACTCATTTTAAAGCTGACATTCTGCCCTATCCAATGGTACCACTGCCATCTCTCTACGTTGATTTATGATTTCACGACATTTCATGAAATGTACCAAGTTTCAAAGTGATCCGTTCGTAAATAACCAAGATAAAATTTGGGGTAGACGCTCCCCTTAACTCCTAAATATTAGTAAAACATTTGCGGCGATATTTTGTGCAACTTCCCACATATACCGCTCTCGAGCATGCTTCAAAGCTTCTACTATTTCAAGTAGGCATATACCACAAAAGTTATAAAATAACCACTTGCTCGCACCCTTTTCCTGAAACCGAAGAAGGCGCCGACGAAGGTGAGAGGCACGGACACAAGGAACCACAGCGCCAGCAGAGCGATGAGGGTGGAGAAGGGCACCGCGGCGCTGCTGCCTTTATACGCCAGGATCAGGTTCAGGAAGAAGAAAATGCCGAACACGAACCTGGAGGCACGAATATATAGTTAGTAGGTATTTCCAGAGGTAAACCTATAACAGTTCCGAAATTACCCATTAGTTGATAAACAAGCTCAAATGAAGAGCGATCGTTTTGTGGATGATAAAATAAAATAATGAATATATAGTAGTAAATAAATTAATATAATAATAAATAAAAAAGTTGAAAATGAGCAATACAAATGAGCACGCGGCTTGTATGATATAAAATTATTTTAGATGGGAAAATTCCATCGAACTCTATCTCAGGCATACGATGCCTGGGTTTCGACATGGAATACGATACGATATGGAACCATGTCTAGCTCGAATACTAGCCTCATTAGGGGTTTTAGTTTAAAAAGAAAACTTCATTTTAACTCTAACAAGCAAATCTTTAACGTTCCAAAGTCGAACTTTCTCCAGCTAAAAGCTAAAGGAAACTTAGACTTCCATGTTTAGCCTGAATATGGGGCAATTAAAAATTTATATTCTTCATTATAAAAGTGAAAAATTATATCCAATCATGTCTACTCCCATGATTTCACTAGAAATAGAAGTAAATTGAATCTACGATAATAACTTCAACAATTAATCTTATTTTATTCAGCATCAAGAAGAAAAAAAAGAGACATGTAACTCCAACCGAGATAACAATGGACATTTTATTGCAACTTTCAGCTTAAAAAGAAATGATGTTAATAATGGTCCTCTTCCACTTTAAAAACGATTTATTATACTCATCAAGTCATAAGTCAGATACCGAGAAGTACCAACTATAAATAATCAGAAAAATAATGACCAGGTTGTACCCAGGACAGAGCATGGAGGCAAAGCTACAACTAAATTACCGAAAATAAATATATAGGTACCCACTGCAGTGGGTGGCAGAGAGCGCATTTTCTCGTCGATGAAAACGTGAAGTCACGGACGGACAGACAGACGGACATGGCGAGCACAATAGGGCATTTTTTCATAAATAAGAAAATGAGCTAAAAACATGCATTATGACATACCCAGGGCAGAGCATGGAAGTAAGCAGTACGTTGCTCTTCCACTTCTCGCCCCCGAAGCTCTTGTAGAGGCGGGCGCTGGTGTAGCCCGCAGGGAAGCCCAGGCACACGTACAGCACCAGCACGCAGGTCATGAGAGCGCCACGGTTAGCGGGGGACAGGAAACCCAGGCACGCGAACACTGCAAAGACAGCAGCGTCAGTATAGGTCAAGTATACTGCCATTTTGATGTGTTAACCACGCGAACACTGCAAAGACAGCAGCGTCAGTATAGGTCAAGTATACTGCCATTGTGATGTATTAACCACGCGAACACTGCAAAGACATCAGCGTCAGTATAGGCCAGGCATACTGCCATTGTAATGTATTAACAAAAACAATCTGCTGCCAGAAATTACAAGAAAATGTCTGACACGTTGCCAACACTGCAGACGGAGAAGAAATGAAGAAATTGTCTGCTACTGTGCGCAATAAGGTATCTATGATAGATTATAATTTCGCGAAACTTAAGTGTAAACAAGGGCTAACACTAGCACAGAAATTTTGGTATAAGGGTAAATAATTCTACCATAGAAGAAATATGTCGCTGGAAACATAATTATCTAGTACTGGTGAACACTGGGCTCATTTTATACAAAGACTTTGTGTGGCTAGTAATAGTCAATACAAATCCTCATCCACAAGTGTGCAGGAATAGAGTTCTGGATATTAAGTTCTTATATGCTTAGCAAAAAAATTTCATGCACCTAAACTTTATGACACGACTGAAAAGCGTTCGCTTGTAGACATTAATACTTAAGCGCTTAAACCATAGGATATTGTAAGTTTATACCAGTACTATATAGCATCTAAAGAAAACACAGAAAAAGTATCAGAGCCAACTTACCAAGCGTGAGCGTTCGCATGTATACAAAATTACTTATGCGCTTAAACTATAGGATATGGAATAGTTTATAGCATGTATATTACACACAGAAAACTATCAGAGACAACTTACCAAGCGTGAGCGTTCGCATGTGCACAAAAATACTTATGCACNCGTGATAACCGGAACCGGTGGCTGTTAACGCTGATCACGGTGAGTTGTCTTACAATTTACAGCGCCTCGATAACATCATATAAGACTCCGACGTACTCGTAGAATACTCGTAGGGTACTCCGACGTACTCGTAGGGTTGCGCATGCGCGTGGTGGCAGGACGTGTTTGAAGCAGCTCCGTGAAATTCCTGAGTTTTAAGAATCCTAACGAAATTTTATAACAGGCTACGTGCCGAAATCATTCCCAAAGTTATAAAGTTCTGAAATGTGCATCGTGAAGACCAGCAAGTTGCGTAAATTGTAAGACAAAGCTCTCCAAATACATCGACCGCCTGCATAGCCAACCTTTGGATCCAAAATGGCGGCCTTCGTCACCGTTCGACTGAAAAAAAAAAACAAATATTCTAAGTTTCTGATACGCCTTATTTTCGCTTTGTAGCATGGATCAGTTCGCAATTTGGTGCATTCGCCTCCTGTTACTCCTTGCGCAAGACATTGAGAAAAATCCAGGCCCACCTAGATATCCGTGTGGTGAGTGTGGTGATTCTGTTGCGACTAGAGATCGTGGGATTGCTTGTGGCAACTGTGAGGTGTGGTATCACACCCGCTGCATCCGCATGAGTGACAATGTATACCTCGCACACACCACGCAGACCCCATGGATGTGTTTCTCCTGTGGAGTACCAAACTTCTCCGCGTCCTTGTTCTCTCCGGTGCCTGCGGAGACACTGCTCAGCTCCATCGGTAGTGGGACGCACGCCCCGCAGTTTGCATCCCATCCCTCACTGGAAGGCATCTCGGGGTCGTCATCCACGTCTGAGCACACCAACTCACCTGCCTACCACCCCTCCTCCCCCCACCCCAACTCCACACCATACCTCACAGATTTCTGCGCTGAGCCCATTGCTCGTGCACCACACACATCCACACCCGTGCGCCCCGTGAATTCGCCCAATTTCAACTCGACGGCTTTCTCGGCTGGGTCACAGGATACTTCCAACATCCCTAAGCCTGTCCATTCCTCATCTTTTCTGAGAACACTTGTTATCAACTTCCAGAGCCTACGGCCCAAGAAAGCTGAATTTCAAACCTTACTTGACGTCGCGGAGCCTGACATCGTGCTCGGTACAGAAACTTGGCTCAAGCCCGAAAATCTTAGCTCAGAATTCTTCCCAACATCCTACAACGTATATAGAAAGGACCGTCCAGGCGGCTACGGCGGTGCCCTTGTTGCTGTACGTTCCGGCCTCATATCCCATGAGATCTACCACAACTCGCCCGCTGAGGCTGTGCTGGTGCAGGTCCAGACGCAAAAGAAGAACGAACCACTCATATTAGGATCCTTTTACAGATCCCCCGCAGACACCTGCGACCAGCAAATGGCAGATATCATCAAAGTTATGAGCGAGGTGAAGACCGACGGCGTTGTCTGGCTCGGCGGCGACCTAAACCTGCCTGACATCAACTGGAAGGACCAGACAGTGACCGGGAGGCAGTACCCATCCAGAATCAATAAACTCTTCTTGGAGAAGGTTACAGACATGGGGCTCCTCCAGGTGAACGATAAGCCAACACTAGGCAAGCACATCCTTGACTTATTTCTCACAAACAGACCAAGTCTCATCACCAGATCCACCACCATCCCTCCACTTGGGGACCACGACATCGTCTTAGTAGACAGCCAAATTAAGGCAGCAGGTCGCAAACCCGTAGCTAGAACACTAAGCGTTTGGAAAAAAGCGGACTTTACCACCATCAGGTCCAAGACAAAGCAGTTTAGCCGTGACTTGTGCCGGTCGACCACGCAATCTGTCAACAAACTTTGGACGAGCATCCAAAGCCATCTTGTAGATATGATGGAACAACACGTTCCCACCATCAGTCGTCTGTTAAGCACCACCAGCCCTGGATCAACAACACACTAAAGAGACAATCCAGACGCAAGTATCGCGCGTGGAGAAGGGCCAAAACTAGCAACAGAGTAGAAGACTGGCATCACTTTAAAGTTCTGAAGAAAGGAACTAGAAGAACCAACAGACAGAGACAGAGCTACCAGCGATACGTGAAACAACTGCTAGAAAAAGACTCGACGAATGGCCTCTGGAGACTCATCAAGAGCAAAGGCAGTGATACAGTGGGTGTATCCCCCCTCAAACGCAACGGGCTCACCTTTAGTGACAGCATGACTAAGGCCGACATACTGAACGATCAGTTCTGCACTGCCTTTACTCGAGAGGACATGACCCACATGCCCATCCTAGACAGCAGCCCACACCCTACTATGCCTGAGATTAATATCACAGAAAATGGGGTCTACAAACTACTGGCAAGCCTCAACCCGAGAAAGGCTCCAGGACCAGATGGCATCCCGTGCCGGCTGCTGAGGGAGGTTGCAGAGGAGTTGGCCCCCGCTTTGACTCTCCTGTTTGTGAAATCCTTGGACACTGGCCAGGTCCCCCACGTCTGGAAACACGCCCTGGTCCAGCCTATCTTCAAGAAGGGAGACCGGAGCCAGGCCGCCAATTACCGCCCCATCTCTCTCACTTGCATCTGCTGTAAACTGCTGGAGCACGTTGTGAGATCTGCGATCACGGCCCACCTGGAGGAACACAAGATCCTCATCGACTCCCAGCATGGCTTCCGCAGGAATCGGTCATGCATCACCCAGCTAATCCTGACAGTTGAAGATCTTGCTGCCGAGATTGACCGGGCTGGCCAGACGGACACTATATTACTTGACTTTTCCAAAGCGTTCGACAAAGTACCCCACCAGCGACTGCTGTCGAAGCTGGAATTTTATGGCATCCGAGGAAGGACCAAGCAGTGGATCACCGGTTTCCTGTCTGGACGAACGCAGCAAGTGGTCGTGGAGGGGAAAAAGTCCAGTGTGGGCAGCGTACTCTCCGGCGTCCCACAAGGCTCGGTGCTCGGACCGACCTTGTTTCTTATATACATCAATGACCTTGGAGAAGGAATCAACGCCAGAGTCAGACTTTTTGCTGATGACACGCTCATGTATTCTCGCATACGATCGCGACCTGACGCGCAACGACTACAAGAAGACCTAGACAAGTTGGTAATGTGGGAACAAAAGTGGCAGATGGCCTTCAACGTTGACAAGTGCCACCTGCTGTCAGTCACCAGGAAGAGGAATAGAGTGCCCACTACCTACTCGCTCCATGGACAGGCGCTGGAACAAGTCCCCAGCGCCAAATACCTCGGCGTTGAAATATCAGAAACTCTGCACTGGGGGAAACATATCGAGGCAACTGCAGCCAGAGCCAACCGGTCCTGCGCGTTCATCTGTCGAAATCTTAAGGGATGCCCACCACAAGTCCAAGTTCACTGCTATAAAAGCCTCGTACGACCGCTGTTGGAATATGCATCACCGGCCTGGGATCCGCACCAGCAGCACCTGAGAACCTCCCTTGAGATGGTTCAACGCAGAGCGGCCCGCAGAATCCTGGGAGACTTTAGCCCCACTTCCAGTGCCACTGAGATGGTAGCCAGACTAAAGCTGGAAGAGCTCCGTCTGAGGAGAACGGCAGACAAAGCATGCATGCTGTACAAAATGCTGCATCGCCTAGTCGATGTCCAACCTCCTTCAGGACTGTGTCACCCAGTCACACGAGCAACAAGGGGGCACCAACAGAAGCTGCAGGTTCCACGCAGCAGAACCGACGTCCACCTTCACTCCTTCTTTCCGTCGGCCATCAGAATATGGAACTCCCTGAGTGCAGACGTCGTGGCAGCTACATCGCTACTTGCTTTCCAGTCAGCTGTACAAGGCTGGCTGAGGGCGTACCATAACTAAAACCTTTCTATCGCCTGTTTCTCCAATGTACTTATTTTTTTTTCCTAGGACGTTACACGTTCTCCAATGCCCTCATGTGCGTGCGCGCAACCGTTGGTGGGGGTTTTTCTTCAATTATGGAGTATCCACCGTATTATTATGAATATGAATATGTTCTAACAATCATTCAATGACAATGAACAATGATAATTTTGGACGCATTCAATCATTCAATAATGTTCTAACAATCATTCAATGACAATGAATGATTCAACGCATTCAATCATTCAATATTTGTTCATAAAAAAGTGACCGATGATTATTCAGGTTTCACAAAGCAATGATCTTAAACATGTATTTCTTCAGACAAGAGAAACATTTTCTAGCAAGTACACTGACACTAAATTAATTTCCAAAATGTAATCATTGAATTAAAACATCTAAGAAAGCCTAATTTTGGTCCAGCCAAAAAATTTGGGATGAGCTTAACAGGCACTGACTTACCAGCGCTGAGAGAAAGCCCCACTAAAAGATATAGTACATAATTATCCTTAAATGTCCAGTGATCACAAAATACAAGTGATCAGTAGATGTGCATTGACTGAATACAGTAGATGTGCAACACTGACTTCATTGAAACCATCAATTTTTGACACACCAGGACTCATCAAGGAAGTAAGAGATCATCGTAATTATCAATGATGAAAAATGTCGAAAATTCACGTTGAAGCACAGTTGCATCTAAATTGTGTTAAGAAAAAGCCCCCGGGCAATTTGCATGACCAGTTACATTTCAAAACAAACAATTTATAAACAGCAATGACATTAGTAGTAGTAGTAGTAGTAAAAGATTTACTAGCGCTTCAGATAGCTATCTATTTCGCGCCGGAGGTGAGGTCTTCAGCTACGTCAAAGATGTTTGGTCTCTTCCGTCTTCAAGGCTTATAGCCTGATCCATTTTAGGCGCAGGGGCTGGGCGGTAAAAGCGCCTGCTCGTCTATAACGTCAGCGCCCGCACGTCATACTATATATATATACTTTACTCAATTAAACTAATTTCGGTCTCTAATTACTATGTAGTTTTTATGATTGTATTTGAAATTGTTAGGCGAAAATAGCCTGCATGCCGAATTTCAGATCTCTAGAACAATCAGAAGTGGGCTAATTTTCGTTGTCAATGTTAACAACAAACAAACAAACAAACAAACAAACAAACAAACAAACAAACAAACAAACAAACAAACAAACAAACAAACAAACAAACAAACAAACAAACAAACAAACGCGAAGCCAAGCTAAGAAAAACGTGTTAAAAAGGTATAAGTAAACATGAAGATATTGTAGTAAATACGTGTTTACTATATTTCCAACCAAAAGATTAGGACGGTCTTAAGCCAAGAAGATTATTTAATATTTCTGTGGCGTAAACTGAATCATCATTAAGTAGCACTAGGAAAATGTAATAATATTGCATTTGTTTTAAAAAATAAAAGGCTTAAAATGATTGATAATTTCAAATTTATGCTGTTCAAAACATCAACAGTCAAACAACTATAGCATACAAAATTGAAAACTCCTGTTAGGTAAGAAAATTGATAGGGAAATACAGTATCAACAGCACAATTAATATACTCACACAAAATGCGGCCACCGTTGTCATTAAATCCCATGCCCCAGTCTTCACCCTTGCCGCTGTGGTAAGTGATGTTCAGGTCGATGTGATTGAAGATGTAGTAAGTGTCGGGAGTGCTGTATGAGTTCTGTAAATGAAGATTTTTATTTGGGTAAATAGTCATAACAGGCAATCCTTGGTTACACACATACACACTCAGTATATTAAAAACATATTAGATATTAGATGCCTATTTTAAAATAAATTATAATATCAGTTTTTGGGCAATCCTTGGTTACATATAAACACACCCAGTACTATATTAAATACATATTTTAAAATTAATTGTAATATCTGTTCCAGGGCAATCCTTGGTACAAATGTACCGTACTCAGTAGGTATAATAAATTTATGCATGTTTGATTAAAGACCAGAGCATACTTTTTATTAATAATCTTCTTATTATTAATCTGCTTTTGAATATCATGGTGCCAGCAGGAAATTTTGTTTGACTCATTGAAAAAATGAATAACCATACTTGCAAAAAAAACTTCTGCCAAATTACACCAAGTATAATAAATACATACATTTGTATAGAGTCAAAGCAGAGACTATTTAGACTCTTCCTCAAGTTCATTTTTGAGTCCTATACCGTAAGTAGTATCATGGATGCCAAAATAATCATATATAATAATTTTTTTTTAAATCTTGGTTGATGAGGAAATTAAAAATAAACCAATTTTAAAAAATCAGTGGTTTGTTCCTATGTACATACATATGTATATTAAAATAGTGTAATGCCTGTCTCACCTCAATGACGCAGGCATCTTTACGGTTGCCTTTAGCATCAACATAGCAGCCAACAGGGAAGCCTGTAGCACAGTAGGTGTTGTCTCCCTGAACCTTATAGCACCAAGTCACCGGCATGTTGTCTGGCAAGAACATCATGTGTGAACAATCTTATTCTAACATAATACTTAGAATTATTACACGTCATTCATAGCACCAAGTCACCGGCATGTTGTCTGGGGAGAACATCATGTGTGAACAATCTTATTCCAACATTATATTTATAATTATTGCATGTCATTCGTAGCACCAAGTCACTGACATATTGTCTAATCTGTGACAAAAACATCCCATATAAACTCATTTCGTGCAAGTCATACTAGCATTTCACAAAGTACCTAGTGTAAGAGTACCCACTAATAAAACAACATTGTCAAATAACAAGTACAATTTGCAACTGTAAACAGTGGTGCAACATGGTTGGATTAGTGTTACCTGCTGCTAAATCAAATATTCCACTTCTAAAGACTAGAAGAAACTACTGTATGGCATCTAAGCAAGAATCATGTTTGATTAGAGGTTAGAAACACTAAGAATAGTTGAACTACATTGTCAGATCATAACATTTCAGTAATTTTATAATAAAAAATAAATAGTGTATGCACCAGCTGATCTGTATTTGGTCAAGATGAAACACAAATTTGGTAGGAAGCATTATGTACAAAATTTTGCCTCTAGTCATTTACTTACCAACAATCCAGTGATGATGGTAGTTAAGGTTCATGGCGCTCTTTAGCTTTTCTATTTTGAGTTGATCTTCTCTGTTGGAAAAGTCGTAGTGTTTGGTGCAAACTTCTGCACACTGAAGCGGCTCTAGGAATTGCATCTGTTGGCAGAGAAATGATCTACATTACTGACTGATCTTGATGACTGCCTGACTGACCTTGATGACTGCCTGACTGACCTTGATGACTGCCTGACTGATCTTGATGACTGCTGCCTGATCTTGATGACTGCCTGACTGATCTTGATGACTGCTGCCTGATCTTGATGACTGACTGGATAATTTTGCTGACTGCCTGACTTATTTTGATGACTGCTTTACTAACGTTGATAAATTCCTGGGCAGGTACTTCCAAAATATTGCTAAGTGCTCATAGTAGCTTAAGTGCAGCATAAGTCAGCTAAGTGCATATAACTTCAAAAGATGGTACCTTCTAAACATTTCCGGACTGAGTTACGTCCGCAAAGGTATGCGTAACTTTCCAAAATTCAGAGGTCACGTAAGCAAGTTACGCACCACTTTTGAGTGGGTGAAGCGATTGGTAATCATTTAGTTACTAGTGTCTAGACTCTAGTAGCATTCTAAGGTAAATCTTCTAATTTTTATTTAGAAAAACAATTTTTAATTGCTAAGTAATCATATTAGTCATGCATTTAATGCATTTTTTCTCATTACAGCTCTTGATAGGAAACGATTCTAATTGGTAGAGCTAAACAATGAATAGTTTAAACTTAAATTGAATTCACATAAGTTTCACTCTCATTGTTCATTATATCATATTAATCATTAATTAAATACTTGTTTTGCTATCTTGAAATGGCATTTGTCATTGAAATTTTACAGTAAAAGCATATAAGATTCTTTTTAATATATAAAAATGTTTGAATAACTGAGCACAGAATCATGGCATCATGTGACTTGTAATGTAAATAAAGTATGTCAGCAATCTTCTGATTGGCTGATATGCAACGTGGTTTGATAGTATGTACGCTTTTAGCCAAGTCTTGCGTACAAAAGTTTTGAAGGTGTAAAAAATTGCAGTGCGTACGCTAGACTTATCTCTTCTGTGCACAAGTTTAAGAAGTTTGGTCCACTTTTCAACATTTTGAAAGTACCTGCTCTGGGCCTATACTTTCAAAAAAAGTTAAGAGATCGTAAGTTCACCAGCCAATCATTGACGGCCTTTCAAGCAAAATCCACCAATCATAGACAAGTAAATAGTGCGCAAGTACTTACGTTCACTTAGCGAGTTTTGAAAGTATGACCCCTGATTGTTTTCTAACTGCCAATCATCATGAGTGTAAAGTCAAACTTTTTAATGAGAATCTGTATCTGTGATACCTGCATCTGTACAAAACTGCCTGTATCTGCAACCTGAATCAGATCTGGTTGATTATTGTTCTAATGTAGAATAATCATAGAAACCTTGAGGTAACATACAAAAATACTCAAGAGAAAACAATGACAGCTACAAAAAATATATATATGTATGTAGGTATATTTTTTAACAAACAGTCATCCATGACAATGCATTATATATGCACATGAGCATGGACCTCACCTTGTATGGGGATGGCATGATTCTCTCCCCAAAGACAACTTGTCCCAGGTTCTCCACTGGAGTTTCACTGATGTCAGGTGAGGTGCAGAAGTCAAAGCTGGCAAAAGAAGTAGTTCAATACTTAAAATGATTTATAATAGTTTATAGTAGTTATAATAGTTTATAAAGAGCAGTTATCAAATATTATGGACAGCATGAGGTTATTATGTAGAACAGTTTGACCCTACAGAAAAAAACACTTTACCAAGAATAAAATAGCTATACTTTATACTACCATATTTTATGAGTAGAACAAACAACAGAAGTAAATATATTTACAAACCTAAATGCCCTGCATCTAAATATGCAAGATACTAGAGTAGGCACTTATATTCAACTGCAATATATTATGAATATTCTAAAGATAATAATCAGTAGTGAAATATATGAGTGGGAGGGATAACTCTCTCCTGAGGTCAGATATTTGTAGAATTCTCTAAATTTCGAACAATTTTGTAAAATACAAATATATATTTTATGGCACACTAAAAATCTATCCAAAACATTCATAATGCATATAGAAGATATTAAAACTATTTTCAAGTGCTAGGTACTCACTGTGTGTAATCATATGGAATGACTGATTCCTCAGAGTTCAGTCTGTTGACAAAAAGCTTCACTTCACTCTGTAGAGAGAAATACAGGTGATTTAGTATGTATGTATAAATACATTTGAGACACGTTTCTTAAGTAAGGACCGTTTTGTAATTAAAAAAGATGTGCAAAGATATCACAATAGATTTATTTTTACATGAAAGCCTGTACCTTCATCTACTTTTCTACATAATTTCCATGAGTATTGAGGCTCTTGTCATAATGTGGCACCAGTTTTTGAATACTCTTCTGATAAAATTTCTGCTGCCTGACTTGGAGGTGAAATTCCATAGGAACAGGCTATTCTGGGAAATTTGAGAGAAGCAACTGTGAATGATGAATGAGACAGAAATGTTTGTGCTTGTGGACAATTCCAAATTTCAGCAATTTTTATGGCCATACCTACTTTTGTTTTTTTTTGTAAGTTTGAAAAATGATGGATTTTCATACAAAATTTTTTATACAAGTATGGAAAATATTCCAGACTGGGGAACAGGTACAATTACGGATGTTTTTGTCATATTCTCAACCCAATGGACTTCTGTGGCATGGTGCCATTCTATAGTAAATATTAAAGTACATGAGCTTTTGGAAAATTGGGAGTGCTCTGTCATAATCTAGGAGCACCACATATTCCAACAACTTCCCCCCAAATTCCAGCAAATCACTGCGGCAGAAGTCCTGTTGAAAAAGTGACGTGGCTTCATGCCCAGTGCTAATTGGTCAAAGTCTGTGACCAATTAACAACTCGGCATGATATAAAGGTGCTGTATCGCTCCAAAGCGCTGCAAAGGATTTATAGATTGTCCAAACCAATAGATTATCAATGGATTTCCTATGAACATGATTCAGAAAAAATATTTGTGCTGTATTAGTGCACTATTGAAAAATAACCAATATAACTCATAAACATAGCTAGCATCAATCTGCTTGTCTATACGTGTGAAATCAATTATAGGAGATCCAAAAATGCAATTATTATTAACAGAAAGAAACTTGCGTGCTTGGCAGCCTCTGCCCTGCAGCAACAAGACGAGCTAGTGGCAGTTGGCAGGCAGCAATAGTGCTCTAAGTAGTCCCTTGTTGATTGTTTGATACTGCAGAATTATTCAACAAAGCTAACTATCTTGTGCTTTTGTTTTGTTAGCTTCTTCAGTTCTTGACAGCAAAAGTTAGGTAGGTATTTATATTTAAAGATATTAGGACATGTTAGATTCTTTAAATTCAACTCAATGCCAACTCGATGATAGCGGATACAACAATGTCAGTTCTGGAGAAGTATTCTTGATCTATGTATTTGGTATATAGTCAGATGGGGTAAGACAGGACCGAAATCTCTAACAAGCATGTAGCATCTATACCATGAATAAATAAAAAACCCTAAACCTATCACAAGGTGTAGTTATGCAATGGGCTTCTAAGCTACAACTCAGACTTTCTGCATACAACACAGTTTTCTGCACAGATTAAAAAAAGTGAGCTGGTCCCATCTTACCCCAATGGGGTAAGATGGGACCGGGCATGGGGTAAGACAGGACCAACAGG